CATCTCGTGTCCTTACAATCTCCTTCATCTCACTCCCGTTTTGTTTTTTTTCCAAGGGCTGTGCTGGACAGAACAAGAGTTCAGCACACAGGGATCTGAATCTTTGCTGTGCTCTTCACTAGTCACGTTTACTAGCTCCAAGGAGATGAAGTACACTAGAAATAAATAAAACTAACGTGGAAACATCCAAAGGAAATACTTGAAAAGAAGTGTTTTGGTTTACTTAAATGCTGGGGTTGCAGTAAGCGTAGACATCTTTGTGAGGATGTATTTTTGGGGAGGAACTCAATAGTCTGGAAACCTTGTAAATTAGAGGTTTCAAATGTGAGGCTTATTTTATGAAAGAGTCTATAACAGTCAAAACAAAACCTACACAAATAGCTTTGGTTTTTATGTCAGTAGTACAGTCATTGAAAACAATTTGAAACCTATTTTTTTCTAAAGCAATGCTAGCAAAAAGGACATAACCTGTGTTTTAATGAATTTTACATTTACAACATTAATTTGAGTCACCTTACTGTGTACCAGTAAATACGATTTTATCTCGCAACTATATGCAAGGAGAACAAACATTCACATATGATTAGGCCTGTCACGATAACAAATTTTGCTGGGCGATTAATTGTCTCAGAAATTATTGCGATAAACAATAATATTGTTTGAAATTTGACAATAATTAGTAATTGTTGTCAGTGAGAAGAAATGTTGGTAATTTGTTTTGAGTGTAGTAACTTTTTTGACCACCGGATGGCAGAATAAGACTGTTTGAACCAAAGGATGGATAGTGAGGGAGCGAGCAGCATGTCGCTAAGAAAAATGGGAGGGAGGCCCCTTGACATGACATGGGCTGTCTGTCTTTCCTTTTGTTTTGGTTCTCAAAATGCCGGAAGCTCTGTGTGATTTGAGATCTTTAGCATAACATTCGTCACACAAAGCTTTTATTAAAAAATAAGTAAACGAGTTTGCATCTTCTTTTTGCAGGGAAAAACAACTTTAGATGAAGGCATAAATTTCAACCATGAATTTTGAAGCTTCAACAAGACAGAGGTTTTTCTCGACGTCGGCCTGTTAGCTTAGCTCGTCGCTTCGCTTCTAAGCTTAGCTGTTTTTAACGATCCAAAAATGTGATTTTGGACGGTTAAAATGGATTTTATAGAAAAGAGAAAGGGAGGGGTCAGTGAAGATCACCGGAGTGGAGCCTTTTGTCATGCAGTGTCTTCAGTAGATAGAGAGCGACACGAAGAAATGATAAAGCCGATAAATGAAAATAAGGTCAGTAATTTTATTTTATCATGCGCCTAATTTATTTATTGTTTATTGCGACAGTATGTATGATCTGAATATGCAGCACCAAAATGAACAAGGTAAAATTATTTGTGGGAAGGTAGCATGGCAGTTGCTTGGTGGCAAACACTCAGAATTCAGAGAATGCAACTAAAAATTATTCTGTCTTCTTGCAATTCTGAGTCTTCAACTAATAAAAGCAGCCGAGTGACAAACTACCTTAAGATCTGCCGTCTGTTTTAAACTGGTTTTATCTGTGTATTTCAGTTGCTCTTCTTCTTTGGTTTATTGGCAGACTGGAAACAGTTTTGAGGCACATACCACCACCTACTGTACAAAGCATTTCAGCTGATATGGCTCTGTGTTTGTTGTGCTCCTCCTGCACACCTGTATCCTGTTAGTTGATTGCTTCCCACCTGTTTCCACTTGTTCCCTTGTTTAACAATGTGTTTTTGTTTTTGTGCCAAATCATCTTTGTCTCATAAAGCTCAAGCTTTTCAGATAGTTTTTTTGTTTGCGTTTTTACTTGTTCTTGGATATTTTGTGTTTCAACTGAATTTGGGGTTAAACTTTCTCCTTGTGTTCATCCTTAGAGCAATGGACACTGATTTTCAACAAGTGTATGTCCCACATCAGAGTCCCACAGCTATTCTACTGGGAGCTGAATACACCGTGATTCAAATTGTCAGACTATGGCATAGTTCACAAAGTGAGGCTTAAACTCTGCATTACAAATTACATTAAAGCTTCATCATGGAAACAACTCTGAAAAGACAAAATAAGAACTTTAAAAAATACTACATGAATGATACATTTGAAAATATATAAACTCATAAGTTTCCAACAAAGCTTCAACTAAAAGTGCAAGATTAACTCTCTATAGATTTGTACACATAGCAGTCATGGTATTGGTCATTACCAGCACACCATAAGCTATCCTCACCCAAAAGATCTGTTCCCAGAGCCTTAAAATAGCCAAGTACCTTATCTTAACAATAGTATACGTCAAACGGAGCAGGGACGCGAACTCAGCAGCCTTCCTTCACAGTAATTATCACGTTCTACCAGGCTCCATCTGTGGCTTAGCATGTAACTCTGACCCTGCTCAGAAAATAAAAATAATGCACACACTCTTTTTCAGCGCTCTTTCATAACCTGCACTTTTTGCAACTTAATTCCTTTCAGTTTCATAAACAATTATGGACACTTTCCTCAAGTTAAACGTTATTTTTCTAGCCCACAGGGGTAATTTATAAGTGCTGCTTTGTTCCACAATGCGTTCATTGTGCTTTGGCTCCTGTTAGAAATATGACTGTAATGGTTGTACTGTTAGCAACCCAAAGGAGGCAGCTGTCGGGCCAAAAGAACGCCTGTTGGAATAATAATGATGAAAATAACATTCACATTTACTTGTGTTATTCACACAACACACAGATTGTTCTGAAAGAGATTGCCATCAGCTTGACGGTAGCTTACAATGCATACATATATCAAATATCCTTTAAGTTTTGCCTCCATGAACAATCCTCAGAGGGCACATCATCACAGAGGCAGCAGAGACAGGAGCATGGTGTGAGAGGAAGAGGAGGACATAAGAGCGGCACTGTGGAAAAGCTGAACCAATCCCAGGGTGGTGTTCACCACCCATGTATCCACCGGCTAACACAGAGAAAACACTACATAAATGTCAACCTTAAGGTCAGCCATGAAGCAGAAAGGAAATCGTGTAAGAAAACACTTCAAATGGGATTTTTCTTGTCTGATCACACATGATTTTTTTTGAACGCTTTAGTTTGTAGAAGTTTCAAAATTATCCTTAAAGTCGGTTGTTTCTTTGAGCTACTTTCCCCTCAAGATTTAAAATGTAAAATACGTCGCTTTAAGTTTGACTCTGAACGCTTTGCAGTAGCCCAGAACATTTACATCTACACGTTAAAACCCATGGAAATCCAAGTGTAGATTTGTTTTTTCAGCGTGAGTTTCCAGTCATACCGTCGCAGAGCTCCTATACTCATTGTCAAGAGTTCAGCTGGGTGAAGAGCACTCATGGGTTGAATGGAAAAAGTCTCTTGAAGGGAATTAAAGAGGTACAAACTAAACAGCTGAAGTGTTAAACATGCCCCAAAAACAAAACATACAGGAAAATGATGGGTCGTTCCAGTCGTGCTTGTAAGTGAGCCACTATACATCAGCAGTAGTTTCACACAGAAGTCTCTCGAGCGATTTGGAAATGAGTAGAGCTCATCAGTGGTCCAAAATAGCTAAGCCCATTAATTAAGCTCAAACAATGTTCCCCCTGCTGTATCGACTTCTTAATGGACAGAGAAGAACCTTGTTCGTATTCTAGTCAATGACACAGCGCTCTCTGGGGTTTTTGGAAAGGGTATTATGTCATCACACCCCTGCCTTTCAGATGCTGGTCCTGGGCTATATTTTGTTCTTCCCATCTCCTTTTTCTGCCCTTTATTTATTTTTTTTATTTTTTTTGGCTCATTAACTATGTAGGAGCAAGATGACGATCTGGCGCAGCAAGATAAAGTTGCTTGTAGACCCTCATCCCTGTATGTGCTCAGAACTCCAGCGAAAGCTTCTAATGCTCTTATATGAAAAAGTACAATATAAACACAAGTACGAACCAAGTTTATGATGCTAGATCAGGACAGTGAGTTTAAAACGAAGTAGGGAGACCACCTACCTTAATGCAAAAGAAACGCTTGTATCATTTAAACATGCTTGGACACAGACTAAACAATTTACTTCTCAAACAGGGGGGGCTTCTTTAAGTCGTCTTTGACAGTTAAATTTACTCAGGAGTAGGATTAAGTACGTAGCTTCAGGTGTTTTGGCATTATCTTTGTTCTGAAACTCGCAGCTAATACAGTTTACTGAAAACATCAATCAACACGTGGGATTTTTTGAAGAAAAGGAGCAAAAGTTTGCGAAGTAGAAATGACGGTTTTTAAAAAGGTGTAAGACTAAAAACGGTCCTCCAGTTTTGATTATATCTCACAAATACTGATTTTTTTTTTTTTATTTCCCCTGCATGATACATCTTCTAAACAAAGATTGTTTATCTACTCACGATTGGTGGAGTTCATTGCGGTTTCTATAGAAAAATATCAAAATTTACTAAAGATGAATGACTTTATCTGAACTGTGCAAGACAATTTCATTCTTTCGTTGTTGTTTTAGGCAACAACCTGCCTCGTCTTGCCATGGCTTCGAATAGTTTGAGTAAATCTGTTTTGCTTTAATCTATTTTTTTCTGACTTTTTTGTGTGCAAATTTTCACTTTTTAAACATTTTACACAATTTATTAAAATTATTTTAAGAAGTGCTTGGCCTTTTGAAAGCTCCAAATAAATATTATTTTCAACTTGAAAAGCAAATTGCGAGAAAAAAGTTAATGTTATTGTGTACAAATTATTTTTTCCAATCTCTTCAGCAGAATAATGATCATTTATTGTGTTAATTGCATGACTGTTTCTCATAAAAAATATATTTTATCAGACTTGTCTGGCATATTTTCCAGCTCATCCAACAACAATGATTTCATTCAGTTCCTTCTTTGATGTTCCAGGTTAAAATTATGCTTTGATGCTTCAATGGAGGGTGGCTGGGGGGGTTCCCAGTTCTCACAGGAGTGGTTCAAACTTTGACTTTAAGAAGTAAAAGCCAAGTCCACAGCTCAAGAAAACAAAAGCTTTAAAGTTTACCTTGAGCCGCTCCGACCTCCAACAGGAGAAGGAGCAGAAACCAGGACACGCTCTGCATCTCAGGAAGGGCTTTGTGCGCTCTTCCTCCTGCTCTGTAACCCATGATGATGATGATGATGAGGAGTCAAACTGCGCTCTGAGGCAAGTCCGAGACTCTGACGACGACTGTCAAGCGCGCGCTCTGCTCGTCCAAGTCTCCCCTCACAGCCCCGGCAGCGCACAATGCGTCTTTGCGGACAATGTCTCCAGCTCCGGCGCAAACATGTGACAGTTTTATGGAACCAGACGAGGCTGCATCGCCCTCCTGTGAGGCAGGATGCTGCATTCAAATCTTCAAAATCTCCCTCCGCGTGCGTTTCTCCTCCTTCAGAGTGGATTTGGTTTGAGGTGCGGGTCGATCTCTGGAAGGCAAATTCATGCTCCCCTCACAGAAAGCCCAAGTCCAGCAGCAGAGTTCCGCCCCTCTCCGTGTCGAAGCCTCTCCACAGTGCGTCCTTGCAGTGCGCGCGCGTCTCTGTCGGGACTGAACCCGCGGGGCCACCTCGCTCCTTTCAGCCAATCCAAGGGCTCCGGCAAGTGGCGGCGCGGTGCCAAACCCGGGCCGGACACGAGCCAGGAATGGACGCTGCTCATCTGGAGCACGTGGGGACTGGTCTAAAGGTGCGCGTAAAGAGCGCGTGAAACAGACTGGAAAAGTGCAGCAAATGAGACAAAAACAAAGCATGTTCCGTTTCTGTTGTTTGCTGAAACAAAACAAAATATACATAAATTAAACTAATTGGGAAAATGATACGTTTCATAATATATCTATAAGGGTTTAGGGATATTTAAAGTAAAATTAACATTATTTTAATAAAGTTTTAACAACATCTATTTAGATGAACATTGTATCTGAAGTTGCTATAAAGATTTGGAACATGTAGGATTTTTATTCTAGCCTAGTTGTCATCAACATGCAGGTTTAAAGTAGCCAGGAAGACCCTCTTCCGGTTCCGGGGGGTGGGGGGTGGGTGATGAATGGTGGGTGGAGGGTGTGTGACGATGGTGCCCATCTGTTTACTGTAAGATACAAACAGCATGAGAGGAAATCAATTCAGTTCAATTTAATTTTCATAAGTTTACATTTGATCTCTATTGCTACAGTTGAGGCCTTTTTTAATTTGTTTATTGTCTGCGTCAAAGTCTGGTCCCTTACAGTCCATTTAGAAAAACATCTGGATCCCCGAGTTAACTTTGTTGATGATCCATTTTAGTTCACTCTGTCATGAGCAGTGGTCTGCTGCAACCTTTACGATCAAAAGAGCCATTTCTACCCTTTCATTAAATTAAACGTGTCCAGAGCCGCAAAACTGGCTACAATTGTCATTGTCAACTGGTGGCCCATGGGCCACTTTAAGTTTGTTAGAGGGGGCTTTTCTGGCCAGTAGGTGTGAAATTATAAAACTAAAAACATTCAATTATTGTTAACATTTATTGATATTTTTACATTTTGATAAGAAAGACTGGATTCCATCCATCTATCCATCCATCCATCCATCCATTGTCTTTATCCGTTTCTTCCATTTTGGGTTGCAGGGGATCACTGGTGCCCATACTCAGGGCACAAGTCTTTCACAGAAGACTGGATTATTGTAAAGAATAAAAAATATTATTTTGCCAATTAAGAAAAAAAGTAAAACAATGAACTTATGTGATTTTTTTATTTTATTTTATTTTATTGTAGAGTAATTTGAGTATCCTACTTTGAAGAAAGAAAGCATAAAGTTAAAGGGAGTATAATTTACTCTGTGTATTAGTACAAGTATTCACATATTTGCAAAGGAATTGACAGGGAAACTGTTAAAACTAGTCATTTTTTGTTGTGGGTATAACGTCCTAAAATAATTTCTGTTTTATGTTAGTTTTGGTCAAAGATGGAAAGAGCTGCTGCAGAGGGACCAAAGAGCCGCATGTGACTCCAGAGCCGCAGATTGCAGAACCCTAGTCATGAGTTAAGATGGAGGATTTCTTTTTTTTTTTTTTTGAGGGGGGGGTTTGTTTGTTTTTAACTGCTCTGCTCTGCAGGGGTTGCCACAACAAGCAAACTTGCATGGACGAATTGGCTTTACCTTAGATGGTTTTCCTGACACAACCTGGGCTTGAACCTGCTTTTTAGACCATGGCACTGACCTCCAAGCTGTGGAGGATCAAAATACTAATACCAATACTAACTTAACTTAAAACTAAGCAGTTGTGCCTGTTAAAATATACCCATAGTAGAAAAAGAAGAAGAAGAAGAAATAAAACAGACAATAATTTGTACAGTTTATGGGCATTTGGGCACAGGCAATCACCTTCCACTAAACAAAGTAAACCAAAGAGAGGAAGTAATGTTCAAACAAAGAGCAGGTGTGCTAATTGGTATATATATATAAAAACAGGTGCGCAAAAACAGTTAAAGGCAAAACTGACTGAAAAATAAGCAGGCAGGAAACGTGTTAATCAGAACACAACAGAAAATAATCAAATTAAATTAAAATAAATTTAACCAAAGTAGAAGATTTTGATCTCAACATAACAATAAAATGTTCAAATGACAAAAATCAAACCAAAATTCAGTTTTGACAACAGTGGATCACAACAACAACAGACAATCATAAAGGATGCGCACAAATTTATTTATTAGTTTAACAAGTGAAAATAAAATAGTAATTAAAAGGAAAAGTAGTGGGAAAAAAAACAGGTTTATGATATTCTTTTATGCTCACTACATGCCATTATTCCATCAAGTTTGGTCTAATCTTAGTGCCATTCATCAAATTATCTACAGTCCAGTTCAGTCAAGTTGATTCATATTAATCAAACCCTTCTTTTCCGGATCGTTCAGTCATGTTCCGAGTCGGATTCAGTTGGTATTCCCAATCAGAGCAGCCTTCTGTCTTGTTAAACTGGGAGTCAGGAGGCCAGAAAAGGAACGCAAACAAATAGATGCTGATTTACGCCCACAGGGCCGTACAGTAGGTTGTGGACAAACTGGAAAACAAATGCTCGTTAATTTGGTGCAACCTTTCAAAAAGAAATACCTAATTTATCAAGCTGGATTCTATTAAATCACTGTAAATCAGTCTAATTGTTATTTAAAGGTATTAAAAGCATGTCAGAGTGATCACTAATGAGCTGAGTTTAACAGACATAATGTCAAACCAGCGCACCGACAAACAGACTTGTGAGTGACTTTTGCGTTGCAGGAAGACATTTGTATCTGTGACTCCGGGTTGAAGGGTAATTACATATGCATGACAGAGGTCTGAGTAATGCTCCCGACACCTTGTGATTAATGTGAAATATGAACTCAACACTGTCTCAGCTCTGAAATGAAACTTTTAAAATATGAATCTAATTCAGAAATCATGGTATTCTGCTCCCCTCCATCACAGGTTTTAATGCACACCCATGTCAAGTGTTGGCTGTCATCTCGCTGGCATTTCAATTTCAGGTAGGATATGCAGGAAATTGCTTTTATTTTTTTTTATTATTCAGACTTTTCAAAGGTGTGAACAGCTCTGTGGTTGATGTTTGGAGATTAAAATACAAATCAACCACAACAATAAGCTACTTGAAAAAGGGGAAGTAAATAACAGCAATTATTTTAGTTTTATTGGCCGTGTTCCAAAGGGTGGCATAAGTTATGCTTCTACTTCTTGATGTGTTAAATCCATGAAAATTGTTCTAAATTTGAAAAATGTTGGCATTGTGGCACATTTGGTATATGATGGCTTAAAGCAGGACTCGAATACAAGCAAGAGGCAAACAAATGCAAACTAAAACCATCCGTTATCTTTTTATCTGCTTCTTCCTTTTTGTGTCTTGGGGATCACTGGTGCCCATATCCAGCAGTTTCTGTGTGAGAAGTGGAGGACACCCTGGACAGGTCTCTAGTCCATCACAGGGACACATTGAGACAAACGAAACAAACAACTATTCACTCTCTCACTCTCACCTAGAGACAATTTAGAGTTACCAATCAGACTAACATGCATGTTTTTGGTCTATGGGAGGAAACTAGAGTGCTCGGAGAAAATCCACGCATGCACGGAGAGAACATGCAAACTCCACCCAGAATGGCCCACCAATCCGACCAAATAAAACCTAAACTTTTAATAATAAAATGAAAAAATAACAAGACAAGATCATGAGTGAATTAACAGGAGGATCCGACAAAGAATTGGGGAAAACCCTAGAACATATGTAATAGGGGTGTAACGATACATTGATTTACATCGATGTATCGATTAAACGATTAATGATTCAAATATATCGTGGCAAACTAAAACACTGATTCATATTGTCATCTTTAAAATACGCTTTTATTTTGAAATTCCCAAGGCACAACTCATGCCGTATGCAACAGGTGCCAGTGTGAGTTAAAATACTCGGGAAACAACTAATTTGGCCATTCACCTGAAGAAGAAACACGGCATTGATAGCCATGTTATGTAAGCTCAATATTTATTTTTGTTTCTTTATAACTGAAAGGTAATCAGGACACTTTTAAGTTTAAGTTAACTGGCTTAAAAAATGCACTTAAACATGAGAAATGTGAGACTATACTGAACAGGTCTTTTTTTTTTTCATTAATTAAGAAAAAAGTTTTTTTTTTATTTAAATGCCTGGTGTCTGTAATAACAGAATAAAATGGTTAAATCATATTTGAATTGTTTTTGTAAATTTATTTATATGTAAATGAGATGGGCATTTAATATCGCAATATATCGACCGCAAACTCGTGAATCGAATAGAATCAAAATTGTATCGTGACAGACTTTGTGATATCGAGAAAAATCCTTTTGTCATACAAACAAATCAATATAATATCGTATCGTGATAAAGCTGGTGATTTACACCCCTAATATGTAATGAGAAGGTGAAATTTAAACAGGTGTGCTGCACTAATGGAATGCAGGTGGTATGTGGACTATTGTGCATCTAATGAATCTGTGATAAAAATGATAATGTTATGAAAGCTAAACTCTGTCTGGTGTAGATTCAGTGCATCTTATATATCCTGTCTTCAAAAAAAGCTTCAGGTGTGGATGAGCTTCACCCTATAATGACGATGTTTTAGCACACGTCGGGTGTTGTAGAAGGTTTGGGATACGTATTTGTGGATCAGCGGACCACATTGAAAACAAAAATTAAAAGGTTTATTTCATATAATGGTGCTTTTATACTGCAAACCTCAGACTGCTTGAAAAAAAAAAAAAAAAAAAAAGACTAGTTCAGGCCGAAAGCGATTTTCGTCCCAAACCTCATGACATGTTCACATATTATATTGAGAAGTTTTGTGGTTGTATGGGACTGGCTGTGGCGTGGTTGTATTCTCATCAAGTAGTCAAACACATCTTTCATATTTGGTATTAGTTTTGTTTTTTGTCTTTTGTCACCAATTTATTTGATTTTTATTGACTATTTCAAAACCCAGTGGAGAGAGTACCCTATCAAAATATCCTCTACATTTTTTGTAGATAATTTGTTTTCTGGCTTTGTGAGACCATGACCCTTACAATCAATTGAGCAGTTTGTAAA